AATCCTATGATTCATTTTTGAAATTTGAAATTCAAATTATCCTTATGTAATTATATTGATTTATTAAGTTTTCTTGCCATCTGGATAGTTATTTTATATTTTTGCATTTTTCTCCCTCAATCTTTTGTTTCACAGCTTCCATAAAAGTCAGCCTCACGCCTAAAACACACACACACTTCGCCATACCTGTGTAATTTTTTTCCTAACATATGGATTTCCATGTATATTGTATACTGTAGTTCTTTATTCCTAAGGCTGTCATCAATCTGGCCTTAGACTGTGTGCTTTATATCAGATACGGTAATGTTATTGACTCTTCTGATGAAATCAGAGTTCCAAAGATTTTTTTTTTCTGGTTTGATTTTCTTTTCATATCTAAAAGTGCTCTTTAGAGCATTTTCATGGCTCTAAAAATGCTCCTATTATACTAATTACTCCTTAGAACCAAGTAAAACCTGCAGGCACCTCCAGACTGCAGAATGAAAGCAAGGCTGAAGCGTGATGGGAAAGACGGCCTGGAAGTGAAATGCCTGCTCTGCTCCCAAGCAGTGTGATTTGGAAACATTTGCTCACACTGCCTCAGTTTCCTTATCTGTAGATTAAGGATGTAGAGTATATGAACTCTAGGAATTCTTTCAGTATTATTTTGTGGTAATAAAGCATTTGGTTAATAGTTTTAAAAATCATTCTCATGTCATAATTTGAAAGTGCATTTCGCTAATAATTTTCAAATGTCTCTGAGAGCCATAACTACCCTTTAATCTTAGAGTTAAAGCGAATAATATTAGAATTGGGGGCAGTATATGTTAGGCACCCTCCCACAAAAATAAAAAGGAAAATCCTCATATTATACTAGTTGTCTCTTCTTAAACAGTTTCTTTTCCTTGGAGCTAAGAAGGTAAGATCTAGGATTAACTTTCTGAGACCCATCCTGGCTCACTTCAAAGGTGTTGGGTAGTAAGCTGGGTTGTTACTATCACATGAATTCAGTGTAATTCTACTTAATTTATTATTTCTCCGAGATGTCCTAAAGCAGGAAGTGTGCTTTTTCTCTTTGGGCTACTTGTTAAGTCTCGTGTACAGGGATGGTAGGTTCCTAAACGGTAGAAGACCACACAGAATGCCAGGAAACCACGCTAACGTGTATTTTAGTGGTCAGCACTGCAGGTTGGTCTGGCTGGGAAGTCCTGTGTTTGGAGTTTGATCCTTGTGTCCTCATGAGTGTCGGGTCTGCTGCTATAGGTGGCTTGGTTTTAACCAAGCCATGGAGGAAAGTGACACTGAACACTGATGCAATTGACTCGTTATCGGGCTGCTGTTCTAAATGTTCAGAGACACTGCAAGTGATGCTGCATTAGTTTCCCATTGCTGCTATAACACAGTACACGGCACACTTGGTGTCATGAAACAACTGAAATTGATTTTCTTAAAGTTTTTGAGATCAGAAGTCTGAACTGGGCTTAAAAGGCTAAAATGAAGGTGTTCTCAGGGCTGTGTGTCTTCTGATGGCTCTAAGAGAGAATTGTTCCTTGCTTGTTCCAGTTTTTAGAGGCTGCCAGCATTCCTTGGCATGTGGCCTTTTCCTTGTCTCATTTTTATTTTACTTCCATAGCCACATCTCCTTCTCTGACTCTGAGCCTTTTAAGACTTTGGTGATTACACTGGGTCCCATTGGATAACCTAGGATACTCTCCCCATCTCAAGGTCCTTATCTTAATCACATCTGCAAAGTCCCTTTTGCCGTGTGAGGTAACATGTTCATATGTTCCAGAGGTTAGAGTGTGGGCATCATTAGGGCCATTATTCTGTCTGATATAGATCCCTTCTAATCGTTCAGGTCATCACCCAGTTGTCACCTCCTCAGAGAGCCTTCCATACCACCTAGAACCCCACCAAGGCTGATTACCTGCTTACCCTGTTTTATTAAATCTGAGAACAGTGTATTTATTTTCTAAATTTATTTTTTATTTAATTGTTCACTGTATTTACTTGTCACTTTCTGTCTTCTTCCACTAGAAGGTAGACTCCACTAGAGCAGAAACACAGTCAGTCTTCTTCACCACCTTGTCCCCCAGATGAAAAGGGTTCCCACTTGGCAGACTCTTAGAAGATGTTTGGTGAATGAATCAATCTGTATACAGCCTAAGGAAGCCTGTCTTACATTAAAACAATAAACCTATTCCTATTACTATCAATAATGCAAACATTTTTCACTAAACAGCAGTTAAACCTGCTGTCAATAGATTTTCTTCTGAATTTAAGTAATGGGTTTTTCTTTGAGATACAGATGAGATCAATAAAATAAAACACCAGATGTAAACTGAAGCTGCAGGAAAAAGAAAATACTAGAATTGGACAGAATTAATGCAAACACTAAATATCTTGCTAATAAAGAAGAGCAATATTACTTTGATCCACGCTGTAATCATGATACCATGATGAATAACATGTGTCCTCTGCCCTGTTCACCACAATGAATGTTGAGAAAGGATGGAGGAGAGAGAGTTTCATTTAACTGAGACATCAATTCTGGTCAATGGAGCTTTCCTCAGGCTGTTCCCAAAATACGGTTGTTAGCACTTCAGGAAACTCAAATAGCTTTTAGACAAAAGAAGAGATATCCACTGAGAGGGTATTAAGAACAGTGCTAATGGCAGGACTGCATTTCTATAAGCAGGTAATGTATAGCTGTTCAGTTGTTGATTTATGCATCCAGGTGATTGATCAAACAAACCCTCATGTGAGTTAGTCAGTCAGGAAATACTTATTGAATACCTGATACTGGTCAGTACTGATGCCCTCATATCAAAACAGACATATTGAGGAAGAGGAGAGAAGGAAGCTGGAGTGGGTTGGGGAGACTTCATAGAAGAGGAATGTTTGGACTCAATTGTGTCCCCTCCAAAATTTATATGTTGAAGCCCTAACCCCTAATGTGACTGTACTTGGAGACAGGGCCTTTAAAGAGGTAATTAAATGAGATGAGGTCATGAGGATGGATGCTAATCCAATATGGCTGATGTCCTTTCAAAGGAGAGAGAGGGTGAGATGCCTGTGGTGCACAGGCATAGAGAAAAGGCCATTTGGGGACACAGTAAAAAGGGGACACAAGCCAAGGAGAGAGGCCTCAGGAGAAACCAATCCTGCTGACACCTTGATCTTAGACATCCAGCCTCCAGAACTATGAGGAAGCAAATTTGTATTAAAGAAAGACTAGGCCATCTAGTCTGTGGTACTTTCTTATGGCAGCCCTAGCAGACGAACATAAAAAGGAACTTGATCCAAATCTTGAAGGATGGTTAGGGCCATTTCTGGGAAATGGCCTTGGTGAAGATGACTACCTAAGGGTCTGGTTTGGAAGAGCACTCAGTACAGGTGATGAATGGAAGCTACAGAAAAGGTTGGAGTGCACGTAGCTTGTTGAACTAGAGTAGAAGAGAGAGCTGAATGTAAATGGGCTATGGGTGGGTCCTTGGGGACCTGTGTGCCATTACGTCTCGGGTGGGGAAGGTGATTGAGGAGGATCTTGACATCCAGGAAGAGAACGTTTTTATTTGATGTAGGAGGAAATAGAAGGCTTACATTTGGGGTTTTGGTAAGGAAGGAGTCTGTTTTGTAAAGATCAGGGAGGCTATGATCTGTGGCAGACATGCGAATGAAGAGTAAGTTGTGGCTCTAAGAACTGATATAAAAAGAAAAAAAATGCCAGAATTTGGTGATAACCTGGGTGTTAAATTGGGAAGAGTGAGGAGTTAAGGTTGAGTGTTTAATATGGCTAAGGGATATCCAGATAGTTCTTCATCCTTGGGGTTTCCTGAGGATTGGAATATGTTAGCAACTGAGGGGTGCCGTTCTCCCACTCCCATTTATTTCAAAGATTTAAAAACAGAAGGTTATCCTTTGTTTCCAGAAAGCTTTATGATTATTAATTAAGCTCTTTCCTTTCTCCTGATACCAAAACTTACTTTGTGTGAAATTCCCAGGTATGACTGAGGTGCCCTATATTCTCCCCAGAATCTTAGGATGTCCCTTCCTAAGAAGCGCTGGTTCTTGGGGAGCAGCACCACCATCTGCCTCACATGCTATATAAATACAGTTGCTCTAATGGTTCATATCTCTAAAATAGTGTTTGTGTCTTTCTCACCATAGGATACACATATATTTTAGAAATTTTGGATACCACAGACACATATAAACAAAAAAATCAAATAATATTTAATCCTACTGCTTAGATATAGTTACAGGTAATGTGGGGAGTCGGAATGAATAGTTTTGCTTCCTCCTTTCTTTTCAGTTAATACACATGATTATTCAATATACTGACATTAATGTTTTGGGTAACAAATATATATTTTAAAATTTAGGATCATTTGTGAATTTTTTCTGGGAGTTCCTAGAAGGGCATAAAAATAGTGATTTTTTTTTATCCAAGAAAATTTTGATAGGTGATATTTGCAGTAGTTGGGCAGAGGTTCAGTTTTGCTCTTAGGAAGATGTGGAAACCTCTATGAAATCACGTTTGGAAAATTAGAACTGAACTATTATTTTTAAAGTGTACATTTGCGATAGGATGAAAAGGTTTTTTTTATTTTAAAGATTTTTAAATGTCTTCCGTGTAAACAGATCATAGTCACTCTATTAACTTACTCTTGTATTGAACATATTTTCCCTGTTTTTTTTAATGTACAAAGTTTAATTTTAAAGGAGCCATTCATTTAAAACAATAAAATGCAGTTCAGTCTTTTTGAAAATGAAATGTTTAGCCCCTTGAGATAAAGCAGAAAGGGAGAGTACTTGCCCTCCTTGATTAAGTGGTACTTTACTTCACATTAGTGAATGGCTTCTGAGAAGGTGCAAATTGTACTTTGTTTTAATTGGACTTCTGTGTTGAATTGGTTTTCTAATTTATGATATTATAAAACTTTCAAATGATAAGAAATGCTTATCAAGTGATCGCTATGGCCGAATAATAAATACCTTTTATCTTTTTGATAATGCAGTTGACTCACGTTGACCAGGCAAGCTTCCAGCTGGATGCCTTTGGAACATCGTTTATTCTTGATGTCCTGCTAAACCAGTAAGTCTTTCTTGAGCTGCACTCAAGTGTTTTCAGATACACATTGAATCCACTTTCTTATCCTTCTGTAAAGTTTTGCTTTCTTACTATATTTTACTCCATCTTCCTATGTCAGTTAAATACTATGTTTAAAACTATTATGTCTATTGACTGTAAGTTATAAAGTCTGGTAAACAACAGGAAATGGATATCCATTTGAAACTGAATGTCTGTAACAGATTTAAGAATGTAAAATTCAAGGAAAGACTTACTCCAGTATTTTTCATGAAAGTATATATATATATGTGAATGACAATAAACTATGAAAATAATACATTGAGTATTAAACATCTTTCTTAAGAACAGCAGAAAAGGAAAGGTACCCATTTTGCTCAGTGATTCAGAAGACTGATCCAAATAATGCCGTTAGATACTTTGATTTGGGAGTTGATTTTGGTAAGGTTTAGGTTACTGGGATTATTCTGTAAATACAATAAAATTTTGGAAATTGCCATTTGTCTACCTGGAATTTTAGGTTTGGAATAGTAGAAATTTAGGTTTGGAAGTGGCTTTTGATAAATCATTGGATTTAATCTCTTCCCTTTGTGTAAGTATAGTTCCTAATAAGTCTTATAGGACATTTAGCTGTCTGTTTACTTTTTTAAAAAAGCATTAGTATTTCACTTTTTATCCTGAACAAGAAGGGCTCTGTCAGCCAGTGTTTCTGTGCTGAGGAGCACTGGTCCACAGCTGTGCTGAAATCAGTTGTACAACAGCTCAGGAAGAAAGTTTGAGGCCAGAAGGACAGAAAAGGTGAACAGAGAGTGAAAACTAGAGCTGAAGTTGTCTGCAATGTGGAATCAGCCAAATGGGAGACTATGTGCTAATTTTAAAAAAGGATATAAGAGGCGGGACTTACTTATCTGGGTAGGTGGCCACCAGCCTCTTGTGGCTGTTAGATTATTCAATTAAAACAAAATAAAAAATTCTGTTCCTTATTTGCATGATCCTCATTTCAAATGCTCGATAGCCATTTGTGGCTAATAGTTAACTTATGGGACAAGGCAGAATATTTCCATCATACCAAAAAGTTCTGTTGGACCATGCTGGTTTAGAGATTTCCATTGGGGAATGTAAACTGTTAGATTACTGAGCAAGTCAATATTCAGGATAAGTTACTTCTTCCTTTGAGACTTCAATCCATGTTCAGTGGATTAATTTAATAATTAAATTTCCTGGTATCCTAATTTTTATATAATTTATTTACTAAGTTTTTATAATACCCTGTTTGTTGTTTTAAAGTTTAAGTTATATATTAGTTTGCTTTTCAATTAAGCTGTCTCATAGGCACCTTTTGTAGGTAGTCCTTCCCTTTCCCCACATTTTTGTAGTTCACAAACAATTTAAATACTGAAAAGCATGTGTTAGATGGCAGTCAACTATTTGGGCGATCAAACAATGGGAATTTTTTGTTCTTTGATCATGTATATTTTTAAAATATAACATAAATTGAATTTCTACAGTACTCAGTAAAGTACAGCTTATTTCTTATTTATAAAATTCATGGCTTGGAACATATATGATTAGATGTTTTCTACCACACTATTTTTTACCCTAATTTCATAGGGTCACGAGTAATATTGTGTTAATACCATCTGTATCTTACATTCCTGTTTGATGGCAATACCTCAAATTTACATGTTTATATGACTCATTTCAGTTTTTCAGCAATTCCTCAATGTTATAAAGTTTTGAAAAACTCATTATGAAGGAATGCATGCACCTTAGGAAATAATGAGAGTAGAAAAGCCATCTCATATAATTCTACCACTTGAAGTCTGACTACCCTGTTTTAAGTTGTAAATATCTTGACCTCACTTCAAATCCACCCTACCACCTGTTCTCCCCTGCTTAATTTTAAAAATAGTATTCATCACTGTTTAATACAAAAGTTGACTCGTGAAAATGCCATTTTTGCAGGTAAAAAGTTTGACGACCAGCATTGTCATAATGTTCGACTAATTCTCTATATTTTACTTTTTTTCCCTCCCACTAGAAGTATAAGTTCCTTGAGGACAGAGATTTTTTTTCCTTTGCTGTTGTATCCTTAGCATAGAATAAGCACTAAATTCCAGGTTGGGAAGCCATATGGATTTAGAAACCTGAGGCTGGAATTGTCCAGGAGACAGAGGAGATGACTGGATGAGGGTGGAGGCTGTCAGTTGGGGACGAATGAAGCAGCAAAAAAGAAAGAGGGCAAGTGTTTGGGATTGGTTTCTAAAGGCTGAGCAATATATGCCGGTGTGATTTGGAAAGCCAGGTTCCTAGGTCTGGATTTCATTGACTCTTTCTCATTCCTCCTTTAAATCATTGTTTTTGTGGGTAGCCTCTGCCTTGCTTTCTGGTTTCTGAGATTTGTAATGCCTTGACTTTCAGTACTCCAACAAAGAAGGGATATTTATTCATGTCAGTTCTGCCCAAACCACTTCACTTCCTTTGGAGAAATCTGAGCCCCAAAGCTTTCTGTTCCTGAAGAAGAAACACATATGGCTACACTTATCAGAGCATGAAACTTAGAATACGAAGGGTGAAACAGAATTTCTTTAGAGATACTGGCAATCAACTCCATTGGGCATTTTTCTTTTTATTGCATTGGAAATTTGAAATTACAAGTACAAAGGATAAAATAATAGCATAATTAGAGATTGTGTGGGCTGAGAACTATGCAGGGTGATTTATTTTTTGCCTGGGATCTATGTTAAACATAGATATCAGGTATCTATTTTATTCATACTGTAAGATCTAGGATGATTTGATACAAAGTATTTTTTCTCATTTTTATGGATAATGTTTCTATTTCATGGTTTCAGTTTATATTTTGTCTTATGGTTATGTTGGTTAAGGAGCAGGAAGATGAAAAGTTGATTATACTCTTTAAGCTCTCTTTCTTTCTTGTTCTCACTCATAGGCTCATAACATTTATTTAGCATCCTTAAAAAAACTTTTCCTTCTTTTAATTTTTTTTTTATTGCGGAAGAGTTGATTTAAAATATTATGTTAGTTTCAGATGGACAACATAGTGATTCAAAATTTTTATAGATACTACTCCATTTAAGGTAACTGTGAAGTATTGGCTATGTTCCCTGTGCTATACAATATAAGCTTGTAAATTGTTTATTCCACACATAGTAGTTTGTACCTCTTCGTCCCTTAGTCTGTGTTGTTGCTCCTTCTTCCCTCACCCCACTGGAAACCACTTCTTTGTTCTCTATATCTATGAATCTGTTTCTGTTATATTACATTGATTCGTTTGTTTTATTTTTTAGGTCCCACATAAAGTGTCTGTCTTTAGCTGTCTGACTTATTTCACTGAGCATAGTACCTTCTAGGTCTATCCATGTTGTGGTAAATGGCAAAATTTCATTCTATGTGTCTGGTAGGTTGGTTATGTTTCCCAGTGTTGGAGAAGTGGCCTTTCGTAGATGTCTTCTGTGTCCTGGTAGTGCTCTCCCCTCTGGTCACCAGAGCTGTATACTCTAGGGGTGCCCCCTATGTGGGCTGTGTGGGTCCTTCTGTTGTGGTGTGCTGACTTCTGTGGGCGTGCTGATATAGGCGTGGCTGAGTCCAGTCCAGTTGGTTGCCAGGCCCTGCCCTGTGCTGAGGCTGTTGGTTGGCAGGACTGGTAATGATGTGTCTGGCTGCAGAACCCCAGCGGGTCCCAGGCCTAGTGCTGGTTCACTGGTGAGCTGGGTCCCGGGGACTCTGACTACAGGGCCCTGGGGGTCCCAAAGCTGGTGTCAGCCCACTGGTGGGTGCAGCTAGATCCCAGGGCTGCAGGCTGAGGGGCCCAAGGTGTCCCAGAACTGGAGTTGGCCCTTTGGTGGGCAAGGCCTGGTCGTTGGGTCTCTGGCTGCAGGGTCTGGGGGTCCCAGAGTTGGTATCAGACTGCTTGTAGGTGGGGCAGTTCCTGATACAGTGTCTGCCTACTGGTGAGTAGGGCCAGATCCTGGGGCAGCTGGCTGAGGGGTTCAGGGTGTCTCAGAGCTGGTGTTGGCCTGCTGGTGGGCAGGCTGGGTCCTGCTATGGCAGGCTGCAGGGCTATAGTTCTTTGGGGACCACACCCTAGTAAGGAGTGTGGCTCACTTGTAGGCAGGGTGGGTGGGGCCCAGGGGTTTCTTGGGCTGGCACCTGCCCACTGTAGGTGGAGCCGGGTCCTGGTTTCCCTGGCAGCACGACCCCAGAGGTCCCAGGTCTAGTGCCTGCACCCTTGTGTGTAGGGCTGGGTCCCACTCTCTGGTCCACAGGGCCGTGCTCTGGGTCGGCTATGGGCTCAGAAGGTGTTAAGGCCGTCTGTCTTCTGGTGAGCGGGCTCTCCTGGCTGATTGCTTGATCTGAGGTATCCCAGTACTGGTTGGAGGGCTTCAGGCTGGTGGGCTGGGGTGGGGCTGGGTCCAGAGGCTAATAAGCTAGAGGGAGCATTCCAAAATGGTGCTTGCCAGCACCAGTGTCCACTGGTAGAGGGAGCTCCCCAGCCTGGCTGCCTCCAGTGTCTGTGTCCCCAGGGTGAGCTCCATTGCCTCTTGCCTCTCCAGGAGGCTCTCCAAGAGCGTAAGGCGAGTCTGACTCAGGCTCCTTTCCAATGACTGCTTCTGCTCTGGGTCCCAGAGCATGTGAGATTTTATGTGTGTCCTTTAAGAGTGGAGTCTGTATTTCCCATGCCCTCCAGATCCCCTGAAAGTTAGCCCCACTGGCCTTTAAAACCAAAACCTGGGGGTTCATCTTCCTGGTGCTGGACTCTCAGGCTGGGGAACACATTGTGGGGCTCCGATTCCTCTCTCCTTGGGGAGAATCTCAGTAATTGTAGCTATTTGCCCATTTGTGGCTTGCCCACCTGCTGCTGTGGGTCTAACGGTACCA